CATTCTTGCGGAAAATATCGATGTTATTTAACAGTGAGCTATTAATTTTCATTATAACTTCATAGCATTCAACGTAATAGTCGTAATGAATAATAAATAACAGATATCAAATCACTACGATATTTGGGACCGTTCCAATTGAACTTTATCGAAGCAGGATGGCTGTCTTCTTTGCAGCAGTTGATCTTGTGGACCCGCATCGCGAGCTTTCCGACGACACGAGAAGCAAGCCTCATTCAATTCGAGAGTGATTAGCTTTTTCTGTCACGGCTGATGTGGCCGCAGAACTAGAAGATGACTGCTTGACGCGTCTGTACAACCAGTTTCATTTCCTGACGACGGCAACACATCAACCATCAGGGACAAGAGATGTCCAGAAAAACTATGATGCCGTTTTTTAACAGGACTACCACCGCATGAACAAAATAATGTTTCATTCGAAAGATAACAAGCAATCAAAAATGCAAAGGAACAACGAATGAACTGGAAAGATCTTTTTCTTATCACTTAGCAGTGAATTTGCGCAATTTCATAAAATATAAACTCTATCATAGGCAACTTATTCAAAAAAATAAATTTTCTAACAATGTTTCAAAGTTCAGGTGGGAATGAACAAAAACTTAAAGGCAAGTACGCAAAGGAGGAAAACTTCAATTTTGAATAAACCACAGTTTCATGACAACGATGGTAAGCCATTACGAGGATTATTCCAAAACGGTTGGCAGCATGGTATGCTATAGGACAATTGGCAAAGACTAAAACCCCTAAAACTCAGGGCCTAGGCATCGTCATCGCCTATCTTTTCAAGACAGAGCAACCAGTCTGCCTCAGGCATCAACCTCTGGCTCCTTCTTCCGGCTTTCACGTTAGGTATCAAGGTTCAAAGTCATACGCTTGCGAAACACGGCATGGAATTTGCTTCCTTTGTTGCGTGTCACCTTAGCACCTTCTTCTGTGCTCTCGAACAACAGCGGAAATACAGGATCTTGGGACTAAAAAAATCAGAGTTACAAGTTTACGCATATCAGGCACTCGACCGTTTGTACCAATTCTGCGTCAGATACCCGTTCAAACATCGGATGCGCGGAGAAATGATTGACGTTCCATTCGAAAACCTCCTTTACATCGGTAATGGTGTAAACGACCCCCTGCCAATGAAAATACAAAAACAGAAGTTAGCCGTTGACAATAGTGCAACGTTACCCCGGACCCCAAGAAGTATGCGTATTCGTCCAACAGGTTGTTGCTGATAATCCGCCATTTGTGCTTCGCCTTCTTGAAATGAGGGTCAGGGTAAAGGAAGAACATCTTTGTAAGCTACAAAAAATTAACATTTACTTGTGGTTGGCTCAGGAAAGTGTGACGAAAGCCAACCTGGTTTTTTTTGAAGTAGTTCGGCAAGTATTTCATGGCATTGGTTCGCAGGCAGGTGATGTTACCATACTGACCGGGGTGCTGGCTGCGCAAAGCCCGAATCCGCTCCATGACGTACTTGCTCACCTTAACGCGTATTTCCAAACCTACCATCAGTGTTTCGGGAAAGAGTGTAGAAAGCGACACTGAAACAGTCAAATTAAAGCATTTTATTTTTTGGTCACAAGTGACCAGTTCGATACACGGCTTCGCCACTGACCCAAAAGACCACCATATCCACAACCGACGTCGACGAACTGTACTTCACGTTGTTTGTCATGTTCAGAGTCAGTTCGAAAACAGTACTCTTCGAACTGAGAAGACCAATCGAATTCTTCTGGACATGCAGGGCTAAAATAGCGAAATTCCAGAACCATTGTAGAACTTCTCACCATCAGAAACATTGCTCGCTTACTAGCTTGGTCACCTTATCTGCTAGAAGTTAATCGCTTAATGTTATGTTTTTAATAACTTCATTATGCCTTGGCTTTTATGACTTTTATTCATCATAAGCTGTTCATACGTCAAATAATGAATGACCACTCCAAGATCAGATTTCATGGTGCATTACACCACCCCTTGCTCCTAATTTCCTAGGGGGCCATCTAAACAGGCTACGGTTCCACAGTATTTGAGCACCTTTAGTGCTAGATGCGCTTCGATCGTCTCGTCAGCTAGAGCAACCGTACGCCCACCAGAACTATACAGAGTACTAAGACAGTATTCGACAATCCCCTTTCTTCAGCGCCGTGTTGGTCGACTGAAAAAGCACTAACTCTACCCTGTACTGCTTGCGGCTTCTATGGTCTTCGGCAGTTTTCTCTAATTTTCATAATTAGAAAGTCTGGAAGTTTTCCTTCAGCTTCCGTCTAATCAGCTGGCAAAGAATAACGTCCTCCACTACGTCAATCACGTTTCTTTTCATTCTTTTCCATTCTTCAGAAAAGTCTTTCTCCGGAGTCCCTTGCATTCTCTCTCTGGTGTTACCACCTAAGCTGATTTTAGACAGCACCTCAGTTTCTCAGCAAACTTCTTGTTGTTATCGTCGCAGATGCCCTGTAAGATCCAGTCTTCGCTGGAAATACAGACCTGGCGCACCGCCTAGTCGAATACCCTCGGTCGGCCGTTGTCCTCGATTTGCCATCTGCAGTGTCCTCCTTTCGACCTTCTCATCGAAGCCTGATCGGCACCAGTTTGACATCGCTACAGGTGTTAAATGATGACACTGCCGGTATGTTGGATGATGCTGCATTGGGAGGGGGGACAGGACGATCTTCATTTCGTTTTCAGTCGCTGCATTTGGTGTGACACATCTCCACCTCCTGCTGATCTTCTTGAATCAGGTGCGGTCAGTGTACAGGTGTTTCGTTCCTTCTATGGTCACAAGCCAATTTCCTCGCTCATTTCGCTCATGCGTCGTACATACCGACGAATTCTTTACCTGCCATTCCTCGTCCGACCTTGAAATACGTTGATATTAGAAGCAATGCCTATTCACGTTCTTCATACAATTTCATCACTTTCTCTTCGTCGACTGTGCTAGTGGGAACATAGGCTTGAACAATGTTCAGGGGTCTTTCTCGCTCAGTTGGAGGCACAACACGCCCTGTCTTGATGACTTCACGTCAGAAGACAATTTTTAGGGACAAGCTTTTGCCTACCACAAGTCTGATTTCTCCCATGAGCTTCACGTTCTCTCTTCTTCATAGCCAAATCAAACTACCGTCTCTTCAGATGTCATTTCCTTCCGACGTCATGTTTCGCAGGGACCAAAGATGTCACAGTATATTCTTGACCATTTCTCCATCGGCTGGTTTAACTTTTTTTCCCTAGCCAGTATTGTACGGTTGTAGGTGCAAGTGATCAGGAATATGTCCGGGTCCGTTTACCATCGTGGCCTTTCACCTGGGAAACTTAACAATCTCTCGTCAGAGAAACCCAACCACCGCCATGGAACGGGTCGAGAAACGGGGAGGTTATAGCGGTTCATTTATTTGTTATCATAGCGCATAAAGTTTGCCACCCGCTGAGAGGAATGTCGGTGGTCTGGAGAATTTCGTACAGAGGGTGCTCCGAAATCTTTCGGTGATTCTATTGAAGATTTCTCTTCTTTTCTTCAATGGTAGGCCTATTTTCTTCAAAGGAGAGGGTCGCTTTCACCTCGATAAGAGACTGTCATTAGGCATTGTGAGGATGAAACTGGTTTAACTCGAACTCCGTCACGTTCTGAGGGTCTTACCGCTGTTTGTTCGCAATTACTTATTCATTACAACTAATTTTCATATATAGAGGTTATCCGCAACCCGGGAACGCGGCTGATGGCCAGCAGCTAGACACACACATATTCATAGAAAGGAAATTTTTTACCAGTCGAAACAATGGTCGGCCATCGGGTTCGAATGTGCTCGCTGTCGGTAATAGCGTTTTTGCGGCAAGGCAAGGTCACAAGCCATGGCACTGGTGTTTAACTAAAAATGAAAGCTGTTTTAGAGAACATCTGAGCATCGTCAGAGACTTCGCTGCCACTTCAAATCGTTCATGACTGGCTGCGTGGCTGTGACAAATATACTTAACGGATTCGCGGACGGTCCTCACAGACTGCGTGTTTATCACAGCTCACCTGCATAACCGTAGTGGTAGTAACAGCATACTCATTATAGCGACCAACAGAACCATAATCAATGAACACCATTAATCCTAATCAGCATCGGCGTCCTCGCAATCATAACTAGCATAAGCATTATCAATATATTCTTCTTATTTGCTAGGGCGCAGAAAATTCAAATGGGGAGGGTCATCAACTGCGGTAAGTATGAACGCACTGATTTGAGGTTCAAAAATAAAAACAGCGTAGCAGAAGTCTCATTTGGCCGTCTGTCCATGGAAAGAAGGAAGGAACGAAAGAAGACAGGAACCGGTGCTTAGCAGAAGCCAGGTATCTGTCGTTCAACGCCTAAAAGCGAGAAATGCAAGAACAAGCAACTGCGTTGAGCAAACCAAGAATGTAATCCCCATTTGCATCAACCAGTCTACATAGCACAATTTCTTTAAACGCTTCCAGTCGTTCGAGAAGAGTGCTATTCTTTTAACGATGTAAAGCTGTTCGACTGCTCACCTCAACGCTACTGATGAAACCTGTTTGTTTGATGCCATGGAGCTGTCGAGAACATGTCAATTTGAAAGTAAAAAGGTGATTGATATCTGCCTTGAATAAGGTTAATGTCGACATCGGCAACGAGATACCTCATCCATGAGATCGTGCAAAGCTAACGTATCACTGTAATTCCATTCGTGCTTACATTACGGAGAATGGGAAACAACAAACGTAAAACTGGAAAGACGGATAGCGATAATGGTACTAATACCAATACTTTAAAAGAAAATATGCACAGAAAGGGCATGGAGCCAGTTCCGGATATTTATAGCATGCATCTATCTTTTTTTGTGTATTTATTTCATATTCTCTCAAACAGAAAATATTTGCTAGCAGCCAGGGAGGTGCTAAACATAGCCAGCTACTTGCTGCCTGCTTACAAATTTGTAATCACCATCTTGCGCACTATTTTGCATGTATCCTGGACAACGCCTTTCTGGCAATCTTTCATTAGCCTTTGTGCGCTTCAGATGATCCAAGTTTTTCCTCACTGATTTTTAAATACGGCCATTTGCGAAGATTACAATAACAATAGGAATTGTTTGTACAATCTTTAACGGATACAGCTGCTTCAGCTAGACGGCCAGGTTTTAACACTGGTCGAAAGAGACGGCACATTGTTGACACTGAAACACCCGGTCAGAATAATATAAATAATACGACGTTTCTCGGAGAATAGACACCTTTCCGTTGTCAGTCATTTTGATGTATGATCCTTGAGTTGCCAGTGTCGTTTGTAAGTATTCGTAGTTAGCAAAATGA